GAGTTGTCCGTACCCACGGAGTGAGAGTTAGGAAGATGGTTTATCAGTTTTTGAATAGTTTCAGGCGAACAATTAATGATGCTGAGAGATGCATCAGACAACGAAAGAATTAAAGGGATTTCGACGAAGGGTTGCCTGAGGTTTCATGTCGAAAAAGCAAAACAAGACATTAGTCCAAAAGTTTATAGTGATGATAGCTGCCGAAACTTCAAGGAGATATGAATGAGGCTATGTATGATGAGACAATTTCTGAAAGCTGTCAATTGGTACTAAGCAATTTTAACTCAATAACGGACTGCAAACTTGAAAAAAACGGGTAAATGACAATACTGTAGGTGGCAAAACAAAACCGTGAATAAATATGAATTGGATAATGAGTCTTTGTAGGATAAAGTAGAGAACAATATAGGTTTCTTACTAGTCAATAAACCGACGATAAAAGCGGTCAGCGAAGACGGTTTATCATTTAAAATATAATGCTTTTCAAAATTTTACGAGGAAAACCTTTCATATAAGAGGGTAAAACTTGATAGAATTGAGGCTATATTGGGTGAAAGACTATAATACTATGTTTCCGCTTTATGATAAATCGGCAAGACACGACGGGAAGCTAAGATGACTTATGACAAAAAATAAGAAATTTAGTCAGATCTACACTGGATGACTGTGCAAGAGATTAAGAACTCGAATTCAAAAATAAAACTTTCATTAATCTTTTCAAAATCGTGCTGCGCCTACCGCTGCATCTGCCGCATCCTCCTCCCTTTCCACCTGGGTTCGGCGTCAAGACACGTTAAAGAATGTATGAGTCAGGGTCAGGTCTAATGGCCGAAAACTTTAAAAGTGACCAGTCTGTTTGTGCCCAACACGTGTGGCGCGTGCACGATGTATCAGGTTTAACATGAACGAAAAGTGACGGTTTGAATCCCAGGGACGTGAGAGTGCCCTATTTGCTGGTGGCAAGGACGGTATTGAGGGTGGTGATTTCTAGTGGGAAGCCGGCAGGTTCCTCAGAAGTAGAGTGAGAGGTGTGTAAGTCGTCCCCGCCACCATCGCTAGGGTGCTTTCGGAGGTAATAGGTGGTATCGTCTACTTGTTGTCCTATTTGGTCCAAAGATGTCTGGATCTCATGGACACGCAGGAGAAGATAGGATGTTAGGATTGTGGGTCCGCAGCAATATTAAATTGCGAGACATCTGTCTTGTTTCGGCAGTGGTGGTTTGACCGGCTTCGTAAATTGCTGCTCCAGTCCTCAGTGTTCGTCCCCAGACCGGTCAATCCAGGATGGGGTCGGCCTAGATCAGCGGATTAGATTCCAACTTCAGTTTATTTAGCAATGATAATACGCAAGGTCTTTTAAAACTGTTATTAACACACCAGTTTGTTATATCCAGCTGTAAAATCTGAATGAGAACTGATTTTGTAGAAACAAACTTTCTGGATTTAGCGGGGCATTTAGTTCATTTCAGTTTATTTCAGTTTATTTGGTAAGGATAATAGGCAAAGCCTTTGAAAACCCTATTGATTACATGTCAGCTCGTTAGAAATAACTGTACACGAACAAAAAATATTCACTATCAAAACAGTACTTGGTTCATTTGAGTAGCATTGTCTCAGAGGAAATATTTGTGGGGACCAGGGGTATTAGTTCAGATTCAGACCGTCGAGGGAAAACAGGGGACACAAATAATCATCCAAGCGTTTCTTGAAGAGTTGCAGGGATGTAGCCTCCACGACTGACTGAGGGAGATCGTTCCATTTCTCCACTACCCTCTGCGTGAAAAACTCAGAACGAAGATTCAGCCTGGACATTGTTGTCCGTAGCTCGGGTTTAAACTGTCTAGGGATAACAGGGGACACAATTAATCATCTAAGCTTTTTTGAAGACCTACAGGGACCCCGCATTCACGACTGACTGAAGATCATTCTATTTCTCCACTACCCTTTGTGTAAAAGGCTCAGAGCGATGATTCAGCCTGGACATTTTTGTGCGTAGCTTAATCGGGTGGTCACAATGATTGGGCGAGAGGTGCGACTGAAACACGTCTTCAAAGCTCAGACCATGCTCAAGGCCATGTAGTGTCCTGTGAACGAGAATAAAATCACGTCTTTGATGTCTGTGCAACAGAGGGATTAAACTAGGGAAGTACAATCTTTCTATGAAGGATCAATTTCTTAAACATTCCACCAGTTCTGCTGCATTACGTTGTACTTTTTCGAGGCCTGTCATGTCCTTTGCATGCCACAGTCGTCACGTTTGTATCGAGTATTTTTAATGAGACCTGACAATTGTGCGTGAACTCTCCCAAGGGGTCGAAAATATCCGTTTAACTTCAAACAGTACTTTCATGACGTTTTTACGGCCTTGATGCACTGCATTGTTAGTTTTATGTTGTTTTGTATCCAAACGCCGTGATACTTCGACAAAGATTCTGGGGTAACAGAAGTGTCTTTCAGGTCATACGTCCTCATCCCGCCATTTGAGTGGCAGTTGACTGGGAAAAGATGAAGCACGACACACTTCCGCACATTAAAATCACCAAACCCTTTTTCGGACCCCGTTTGCAGTCGATGCAGATTACTTTGTATGGATTTTTGATCATCTGAGCCCTTAATGACATGCCAGAGCTTAATGTCACCGACAGACATTATTCTGCCTCAGTCGAATTCCTGAAGGCTGTCATTAACATAAAGGATGGAGGATAAGGGTGCAAGAAATCAACCTTACGCACATTACTAGTCGCATTCACCCAGTCCGAAATATCTTCTCGGATAAAAACTCATTGTTTCCGTTCAACCAGAAAAGCCGTTATCCGGCTCGGAGGATCTCCCCGAATGTCGAGGATGCTCAGTTTATGCAGAAGGTGCTGGTGAGGGACAGTGTCCAATGCTTTGCAGAAAATGACTTACACGAAGTCCATCTCAAAGCCCTCTTCTGAAGCCCTGGTTCAGACCTCCAGACAAGTTAGCAGATTTGAGAGGCAGGAACGTCCTCTCCGGAAGCATGTTAAAAATGCTGTAAAATTTTATTTTCTTCACAAAATTGCTAATAAAAATAAAGAGGATGGTGTTTTTCTATAGTTTGGAGGGTTCAGTAGAATACAAAACTCCTGCCCATGAAATGACGACAGTGAAGAAAGGGAGGGGTAGAATTGCATTGAATAATTTCAGTCGTCATTTCTTTTCATGAATTTGGGGCTGGTCCAAACAGAAGAACTGAAGAACAGCTGCCGCTATTGGCTAAAGACGTTGGCCCTGGTGAGACCGGCCATGGACATCAGATACCATGAACGTCATCGCTACGGTATATTCAATCGGCGGATTCAGCACCCAAAATTTGTGGGTTTTTCTGGCTACAAACAGCAAGTAATAGTTCTCTTAAACAAAGGATAATTCTGCAGAATTTTCATATTCCTGGGTAATTTATTCCAAATGGTAATTGTGCTCACAAACAAGAGGAAGAAATAAAAAATACCTCACGGTGACTGTTATGTCGGGGGTGGACAAGATGCCTTAAAGTAATGAGCGGGTTATAGATACGGTTATATAAAAGCTTAAATAGTAAAAATATCGTATTTTGTAATCAAAGAAACAACAAGGTCGTTCCTCGTGAGACTGTTATGACCCGCCTCGTACTTGAAATCCCGCGGAGCCTATACGCACTCAACCTGGTTCCCAATATCAAAGAAGCAGACAAAGAAAACACGGCTGGCCACGGAAAGTGTATTAGGAAAACACTGCAAGTCGCGACCAGCTATGGGTGACGCATATTTACAACACGCTACTGTGGTTCGCCGGCATTAGGCCCAATAACCTTCGGGAAGAGGGGAGTAGAGGGTGGGAAGGCGCCTGATTGAGATGATGGCGCTGTAGAGAGAGAGAGAGAGCAAACGCACGTGATCTCCAGTGATTGGTTGGCTCTTGTTTTTGGGAGTGTAGGCACTCCCAACACCTCCCATCCAAGTGGGTCGGTACCGATTTTGGCGTGGATTGATCCGCATCGGCAGTGTTGATCGGCGCACGCGGTTGGTCCGGCGTCTTAGTCGTGGTTTGTTGTCTGGAGACCCGAGGCAGTGATTGATATCGAAGGCGGTACATCCGGTGGAGGCGCAGCAGTGGGCTGGGGAACCGACCGATCTGCCTGAATGGCGAAGTTATCCAGAAGGTAACAAGACAGAGTGACGGCACCGACTCGAGCCTGGTTGTTATACTGCAATGTCGCCGTCGGATCTTGTTGTGGTGACGAACCCAGATGTCATAACCAACGTCGACATCAAACAACACACTGCCTCTGTGCGCTATTATAATTGCCTCTTATTAGTCTGGGAACCCACTTCGATAATCACGAACGAAGACAGGTGTTCCGACGGAAAGCTTGCTGCGAGAGACTGGAGAAGTCTGCGCGGGCTGCACACCGGTAGGAACGAGTGCATGAAACGTTGTACGCAGTTTTCGGTCCATCAAAGCTTCGGCAGGAGAAACGCCACCAGCGGACGCCGGGTTCGATGTTGTCCTGTAGGAAAACAGAACTATCTCGTCCGTGGTCCCCTCATCACCACCTTTAAGAAGACTCTTTTAAACCTGTCGACAAAACGCTCCGCCTGACCGTTAGACTGACGATGGTAGGGCGGGGAACGAAGATGCTGGATGTTGTGCTGGTGGCAGAAATCCTCAAACGTCGACGAAGTAAACTGAGAGCCATTGTTTGAAACCAGGACTTGCGGTAAGCCATGCTGGCTAAAGACGCGTCGTAGGAAGGCGAATGTGGCAGATGCCGTCGCTGGATCCAGCGCAGCAATCTCGGGTCACTTCGAGTAGGCGTCAATCAAGATTAGGTAGGAGACTCCGTTAAGTGTGCCAGCGAAGTCAATATGCACGCGTGACCAAGGCCTCTCCGGTGGTTGCCAGGGTACTGACGGTTGGCGAGGCGGCATCTTGGCAGCTTGCTGACATCGAGAACAGCGTCGAACCAGGTCGTCGATGTCGCCGTCGATACCCGGTCAGTAAGAAAAACTGCGAGCAATAGACTTCATTCGGCTGGTACCAGGATGAGCGGCATTGAACTGACCGAGTACAGTGGGTCGGAGGGAAGATGGGATAACCACACGGTCCGCAAACATGAGGCAGGAGTCAACCACAGATAGCGATGCTCGGCAGATGAAGAGCTGGCGAAGATCGCCAGCGAGAGCAGTGTTTGGCCAGCAGGTCTGCACGAAGGTGATGGCCCGACGGAGGACAGGATTCTGTTCAGTAACACGTCGGATGTCCGCAGTAGTGACAGCAATACCTCGTATGGAGTCCGATAGCTGACGGCGCACATCGTCCTCAATCGAAATAACGGCAATCACGGTATCTTCCTCCGGTTGCTGCTGATATGCTGATGAGGCGAGAAATGGCGTCAGCCCGACCAAAGTCTGTAGTGCGACAGTAACGAATGTCGAAATCGCAGCCAAGGATGGTTGCCCATCGCTGAAGCCGACTGGCTGAGAGGACGGGAATGCCCTTCTTCGAACGGAAGATTGACAGCAATGGTTTATGATTCGTCAACAACGTGACGTGGCGACCGTCCAACAGATTGTGAAATTTGTTGACGGCAAACACAAAGGCTAAGGCTTCTTTCTCTTTTTGCCCGCAGTTCTTCTCCGCAGCTGTTAGCGTGCGAGATGTATGCACGATCGCATTTTCAGACCCGTCAGGAAAAGTATGTGAGATGACGGCACCAACTCCGTGGTTGGAAGCATCTGCAGCAACAACGATCGGCAGCGTCGGGTCGTAGTGCGTGAGCAACAGATCTGAACTCAGCATCGACTTTAGCTGGGCGAGGCCTTTTCACAACCAGGGGACTAGCACCAGGGAGCATACTTCTGCAGCAGACGGTTGAGCGGGGCCCGTAAGTCATGCAGCAATGGTAGGGAGGGGCTGTAGTAGCTGATCAGGCCGAGGAACGAACGAAGTTGCGATGCATTCTTGGGTGCAGGCATCTGTTGGATGGCCCGAATGTTTTCAGGATCTAGTTGGCGACCAGTGACATCAAAAACGAATCCAAAGTACTTGATGGAGTCGAGGAAGAATTAGCACTTGTCGGCCCGTAGGCGAAAGCCATATTCCTGCAAACGTTCGAGCACTGCGCACACTCGGTCTTGCGGCTCGGCAGGGGAGCGATCCACGATGATGAGGTCGTCTGGGTACCCAGCTGTGCCAGGGATGCCGGAGAGCATTGCGTTCATCGTTTGTTGGAATAGGGCCGGGGCGGTCTTGACACCAAAGGGCAGCCTGGTGTATTGGAACAGACCGCGGTGGGTGTTGATAGTCAACAATTCGCGCCACTCTGGGGCGACCTCGATCTGCAGATACGCATCAGCGAGATCCAACTTGGCAAAGCAAGTGCCACCATTTAGCAGGATGGGAAGATCAACCGGCACCGGCAATGGATATCAGTTCGGCGTCAACGCGGCATTCAGACCGGTGGAGAAGTCAGCACAAATGCGGATCGAGCCATTGGGCTTCTTAACCACAACGATTGGAGCGGCCCAGGCGGGGAAGGATACAGAAACTAGAACTCCCAGTTCCTCCAGACGCCTCAGTTCAGCCTCGACAAGTAGTAGGGCTGCATATGGGACTGGTCGCTTTGGACAGAAGACTGGTTGACTTCCAGGAGAAAGATGTAGCACGGCTTGCGTGTATGTGCAACGACCCAGGCCGCCTTGGAACACTGGAGCAAACCGTTGGAGAATGTTCTTGGCTTGGTCTAAAGGCACAGAGGGAATCTGCACCTGACTGCAAACAACGCGAAGCGGCATAACGGCCAACGTAATTTGTTCAATCTAGTCGGGACCAAGTAGGTTTAGATCA